ACAAAGAAAACTCGGCTAAGAAAAAGAAAACACACAGAGAGATAGTTCTGTAAAGAGTGACTGATCACAGTTTACAACGTTAACAGAGTGCAGCAGAAACTCCGGCATGTCTAGTTATTACAGCCTAACTAAAAGGGAGAACCAGAATGTAACAGAGACATGAGGGCTCCCTGAGATGTCAGCGCCCCTCCAAGGTTGTGTCTGAGTCCCAAACACTGACTGGAAGATTACTCTAAAGCTGGGGGGCTTTGTATGAGAAGGCTCTACTCCCTGATGTAACTTTATTAATTCCAGGTACTAATAGTAAGCCAGCACCTTGTGATCTAAGTAGGCATGATGGTTCATAATAATAGAGAAGGTCACTAAGGTACTGAGGGGAAAGGCCGTTTAGAGCTTTATATGTCAGAAAAAGAAATTTTGTAATCAATGTGAAATTTAACGGGCAACCAGTGTAAGTTATGATAAAACTGGGCGGATATGCACAAAATTTCTGGTTCTTGTGAGGACTAACTGAAGTTTGTTAAGGCTTTTGCTTAACATCCAGACAGCATTACAATAAAAAAATAATGAAAATGAAAATAATAAGAAATGAAAATAATAAGAATAATCCTAGATAATTATTTAGCACAATTTCTAAATTGACTAAGAACAGTTACTGAACCCCAGATGCCATCAGCCTACAGCAGCAATGATTTTATATATTTCTTCAGTAATAAAATTGAAAAAATCAGGTAAAAAATTCAGAATGCACAGTTAAACTCTACAAACCTGCTGCCTTACAATGCCAATCCAAATCTATTGTAACTACTGCAGAGATGCTGGAATTGTTTACCTTATTTCAAAAAACTAAGCTAGTTAAAATTATTTCCTCCACAAAATCTTCTACTTGCATATTAGATTCAATTCCTTTAGGTTTTCTCAAAGAAATTTGGCCAGAAATAACCAAGCCTATTCTGTCAATAATAAACTTTTCTCTTCGCCTTGGCTATATTCAAAAAAACTCTTAAACTAGCAGTAATTAGACCTCTGATTAAGAAAGCTAATCTTGATCCCTGTGAACTATCAAATCATAGACATATCTTGAATCTTCCCTTTATATTAAAGGTCTTGGAAAAGGTTGTGGCAAAACAATTAAGTTCCTATTTGCATAGGAATCATATACATGAAAACTTTCAGTCTGATTTTAGGCAACATCATAATACAGACACAGCACTAGTGAAAACTGTAAACAATCTCTTATTATTTTCTGACCAAGAAAATGTATCTTTGCAAGTACTCCTTGATCTTAGTGCGGCATTTGATACAATAGACCACTCCATCTTATTAGATAGACTAGAATACCTTTAGTAGGAGAAACAGGAATAGCTCTTTCCTGGTTCAGATCTTACCTGACTGATTGCTGCCGGTTTGTAAATTTAAAACAGCAAATCGTCTGTTCTTGCAAAAGTAAAGTATGGCATTTCACAAGGCTCTGTTTTAGGGCCTATATTATTCACATTATATATGCTACAACTGGGTACCATTATCAGTAAATACAGCATCCATTTCCACTGCTATGCCGATGGCACACAGTTATATATATCAACCAAACCAGATGACAAACTTCAATTTAACAAGACTGAGGACTGTATAACAGACATAAAATACTGGATGTCACGTAACTTCCTCCTAATCAGCTCAGATAGAGGTTCTTCTTCTTGGGCCAAAAGAAGCTCAAAACAAACTTTCTAATTTAATGCTTAAACTTAATAATTTCTCAGTTGCATTAGGTACATCTGTAAAAAATCTCACATCACCATAGATCCTGATCTGTCCTTCAATGCACATGTAACAAACATAACAAACATAACAAATATTAATAGAATAGCTTTCTTGCATCGCCGCAATATTGCTACATCAAGAAATGCCTCTACAGGATGCAGAAAAGCTAGTTCATGCATTTCTGCCTAAAGGCTTGATTAGTTCATTTTAAAATTGTGCTAAATAATAATCTAGGATTATTCTTATTATTTTCATGATTGTCAATGAGAAAGGAAATGGAGTTGCCCTCTCTTTGTGGCTAGAACAGTCTCCACTCTTCTGGGAAGGCTTTCCACAAGATTTTGGAGCGTGTCTGTAAAAAACTGTGCCAATTCAGTCAAAAGAACATTTGTGAGGTCAGCACCGACATTGGACGAGAAAGCCTTGCTTACAATCAACATTCCAGTTCAGTTCATTAAAATCAGGCTACTGTGCAGGCCACTGGAGTTCTTTATACCAAATTCACCAAACCATGTCTTTATGAAGCTTGCTTTGTGCACAGTTGAATAGTCATGCTGGAACAGAAAAAGGCCTTCCCCAAACTGCTGCCACAAAGCATTTAATTATTAAAAATGTCTTTGTATGCTGTAGCATTAACAACATTCTTCACTAGACCAAAGGGGCTGAGCCCAAACCCCAAAAAACAGCCTCAGGCCATTATCCTTCCTCCACCAAACTTTACTGCTGGCTCTATACATTCCGGCAGGTAGCGTTCTCCTGGCATCTGCCAAAGCCAGATTGGTCCATCAGACTGCTAGATAGTGAAGTGTGATACATCACTCCAGAAAACATGTTTCCATTTCTGAGTCCATTGCGCATAGTGATTTTAGGCTTGTGTGCAGCTGCTCAGTCATGGAAATCCATTTCATGGTGTTCCCGATGCACAGTTCTTGTGCTAACTTTGCTTCCAGAGGCAATTTGGAACTCTGTAGTAAGTGATGCAACAGAGGATATGTGATTTTAATGCATTACAGCACTTAAAGTTGCCCAGGGCAGATCTAACAGGGGAGAAATTTCACAAAAATCATAAGTGCCATGTATTAAGTCACTGAGCTCTTCAGCATGACCCATTGTACTGCCATTGTTTGTCTATGAAGATTGCATAGTTATGTGCTTGATTTTTTATAGACCTGTACAAAAATGGATGTGGCTGACAGACCTGAACTCAATAATTAACAGAGGTGTCCACATATAGTTTATATAAATATATATATAAATGTTTTGTCCTCAGAGGCATGTATAAGGCATGATTATATATAGCACTGAAAATTATAGCAATACATTAATTAAATTGTGAAAACAAAAGGCTTTGTTAAAGAGAAATATGATATAGAATTATGGGTGATAAACAAGAGCAAAAATACAACTGAAGTTTTCATTGAGGTAAAATTATTTTAAGAAAAAAATCTTTAAAAAAGTTAAAAACAAGTGTCACTCCCACACTGGATGTCAATTACTGGCACTCTTGAATTAAGTACTTTTACTACCTCATTCCCTTGGCCAAGATGACAGTAATGCTAGGCAACGTGGGAGAACACATTTGACATGATTCCTGTAAACAAACTATAATACCCTCAAAGTCGTTGATCCACGTTTGTGATCCTTCCCTTTAAGCTCACCCCACAAGTTTTCAATAGTGTAGCCACTGTAAAAGCTCCTATTATCAGTGTAAAAGCTCCTATTATCAGTGACTACATTGTGAGGATTTAGAAGTGTTATCATGGTGCTGGAGAAACAAACATGACACAGTCTTAGACTCCTAGCAGGCAGACAGATATTGAACTGAAGTCTTTGGTTATCTTTCTATTAATTACCAAAGACTTAAGATCAAAATGAATCGTAACAAAATTCAAAGGACATTTAAAGAAAAATAGTCCCATCAGAAATGATAGCATCAAAGATCACAGAACCCTCATACAGTGGCAATTAGATTTCTTTATTTAAATGAGTTATTTTTACACCAAACATACTTGATGTTTGATGCCATAATGCTCAGGTTTTATCTCATCTGACATGAAGCCATCATGAACAGATGCCAACAGAGGCTTTCTTTTGCCAAGATTTCAACACACAGTGCTGAGAAAATGTAAATTTTGCTTGCAAAGACTGTCAAACAGTTCAAAAAGAACATTTCTAAATGCAAGGTTGCAAAGGATTTATGTGTTTTACCATCTACTGTACAAAATATTGTGAAAAGATTCAGGGAATCCAGAGAAATCCAGAAAGGCCAGAAACCACTGTTAAACATGTGTGTCCTTCGTGCCCTCAGGTGGCACTGCATGAGAAACCATCACGCTATTGTGTAAAATATAGCCACAGGGGCTCTGAAGCACTTCAGAAAACCGTTGTCACTTAACGCTATCTGCCGCTGCATCGAGAAATGCAACTTGAAACTCTACTGCGCATATATCAATTCTATGCTGAAACACCGCTAAGTTCTCTGAGCCCAAGCTCATTACAAATGGTCCAAAAAACAGTGTAAATGTGTGCTGTAGTCAGATGAGTCCATATTTCAGCTTGTTTTCAGGAAAAATGAACGTCGAGTTTTTGGTGCCAAAGACGAAAGGGACCATCCAGACTTTTATCAGTAAAAGGTGCAAAAGTCAACGTTTGTCATGGTATGGGGGAGCATCAGTGACTTGCATGGGTGGCTTGCATATAGGTGATGCTACCATAGATATGAAGGCATATTTTGGGATTGGAGGGAGACATATGCTGCCATCAATATGACATCTTTTTCTAGAAAGTCCATGGTTATTTCAGCAAGACAATACCATGCCTTATTCTGTACATGCTTCAACAGCATGGCTTTGTAGACACAGAGCGAGTGTGTGTGCCTGCCTGCAGTCCAGATTCTGTCTCCTATTGAAAATGTATGGCACATCATTAAGAGGATAATCAGACAAAGATGACCAAGGACTGTTGAGCAGCTGAAGTCTTGAATAAAATAAGAATGGGCAAAAAGTCCACTTGCAAAACTGCAACAATTAGTATCCTCAGTTCCCAAACGATTAAAAAGTATAATTAAAAGGAAAGGTGATGTAACACAGTGGTAAACATACTTCTATCCCAACTTTTTTGAGTGTTGCAGGCATCAAATTCTCCATTCGTTTATATTTACAAAATAAAATTAATTTTATTTGTACTTTTCAGTTAAATAAAGGTTCAAAAGAATTAACAAATCATAGATTGTTGTTTTTATTGCATTTCACAAAAAGTCCCAACGTTTCTGAAAATGGGGTTTGTAAATAATACATAATTTAATAAATAATGTTTAAAATTTTCTAATACATTTTGCAAAAGCATTCACTGTGACAAATATGCAATAACAGAGAAAATCAGCAAATACATCTGCACAGGACTGTAGTTTTTTAGGCATGAAGGTAGAATGTAATAGTGGAGACATTATGCCTACAAGACAATACCAGTTCACTGCTATCCTTAGAGAAAGTTTTGCCTTTGGAACCATGCTCTCCATCTTGCATGGGGGCAAACAGACCACTTGCATTCTCTCTGGATAGATTAATCACAACTTCAGCTTGAAGCTTTTCAATCCTTACCCTAAGAGTACCCTTAAGTTATGAAGCTTTTTATGTGCTAATAATTTTGACATGTTTTGAGTATTTTAATGGTTTTCTAACATTTTTAACCTCACTAAAAAGTTCAAATTTCTACAATATCGCTCTTATTTATAGTGTAAGGTTAAGGTGATGTAACCATCAACACATTGTCCCAAATTTTTACCATACTAAAGCAAAGGACACTGTGCTTTTTAAAAGTGATTTAGACAACATTTACATCAATGCAGCCATTAAACATAGTATATTCCTACATGTTATGTAACTAAACGTATGTTAATGTTAATAGAAGAAAAGAAACAATCGTATTTCATTCACCGGCCTCTGACACCACCTTAGGGTCGACCAGATACATTGCAAATTTTAGTCTGCCACATCAAAATAAAAATTCTCCAGCTGCATGCCATATTTTTATTCATTCTTTGAAGAAGAAGACTTAATGTGTTAGGCGGTAATTTAAGTTCCTAAAACAAATAAACACGTTTTTAATATCAATGACTGAATAATTGGTTATTTAACTACAATAGAACTGTAATAAGTTATTCTAGTGCACATGAGTAAAGATGCTGGTTGTGCCTGTGTACTCTGGTTTTTGATACTGATAAAAATAAATATTTAATTTACCAATTGTTTATAAAGAATACAGAAATATTAAAACCCTTTTTGCCAATTGTCAAAAAAAGCTTTATACACAACCATGGGTAGTAATTATGAAAAAATCATAATTAATTAATTTAAAAAAATTCAAATGAAAAAATAATGTATAAACTGAAGATGTGCAAAAAAACAGTAGCAGCTGCGTTTCCTTAATATTCTTGTATGCATATTCTTCCTTGATACACTTGTTTCTACTGTTACCACCAAGTTTATTTATGTCAACGTTACAGTTACAGAACACATCTTTGGATTTGTTATATCATGTGCAATAAAGTAACTGTTTTGAGATGCTTATAAAAACATTCAGTGCACTAATGACCAGCAACATACTGCCAGCACTTTGTACATACTTGACCAATGTGAAAATAAAAAAAGCAACTTCTTCTGCTTGGAGAAAGAAATTCTCTGGAACTTTCCAATGGACATGCAGTGGTTTCCAACTCTGTTGCCAGGACCTCCCAGATGGTCCACATGTTTTCTTCATCTCTATGTGTTGTGAGCTAAGCTGGGATGACAGCTTAGCTCACAACATGTGGACTGTCAGGTGGGCGGGTGAAGGGGGCTGAGGACTGGTTTGGGAACTACTGCCCTAGAGTGAGATAATGGTACCTCTTTATGACTAGTAAATACCCAGAGATGGCCTTCAAATTCAAAGTCTCAATAGTCTTCAAAACTGTTCTTATAAGTTGACAGTTTAACAACACATAAATGATTGTGACCTCACAATCAATTCCTACCCAGCTTTTTCTTTGCAGGGTTGGGATACTGAGGGTTCTCAATGACTCCCTCTCCAAACTTCAGCTCCAGGAAGGCACGATGGTTGTTGGGTCCATAGGCGGTGATGCCAGCAAATGGCATGGGCACCAGAGGTTGCAGAAAGTGTTCAGGGAACTCCACATCCTGCTTGTGCTCAGTCCATGTGTCCTTGGTCATAACTCCATTCCGGGAGTAGAATGGCCACAGATCCACATGCAAGTGGTTGGCCTCACTATACTGGATGCGGTAAAAGTCTCCCTCTACCGCCTGTTCCCATACATAACCATTAGCATCCACCAACGACCCTGAGTCCAAGTTCTTCAGGTATTCACAATTGGGCACATCCTCCTGGTAGATGCCTAAATCAACATCATAGTCCCAAGGGATGATATCTTGATTTCTGGCAGCTCCCAAAAGACTGCCTCCTTCCAGCCAGTAACGCACACCAGAGCTTTCCAAGATGTTGATGACATATTTTGTAGTTTCTCTAAGGGCACGCAAGCAACACGGTGGGGTCCAGCGCTCCAGGTAAAGGTACTCAGGTGTGTCGTCATGCACTGTGCCGAAGCATCGTGCTGTCTCTTTTGAGCAGCCAAACCACTGGTCCCTTCCATCAGGCCATACCAAGTGTTTGAGGCCAAAGCTCCGCATAAGTTGGTTGGTAGCCTCCTTGAGATGACTGTCTGCCTTCCACTGGTTGTGCGCTGAGGTAAACAATGGGTGGTGGCCAGCAGAGAATGTTAGGCCCTCTAGCAGCTTGACTTTCCAGCCTCGCAGTGCAGTCTGTATAAACAGTGCAGACAGTAGAGGGCGTGCTAAAGGGACTGAAAGGTTGAAAAGGTCCTCAGTGCGAATGAGGACTACAGCATCACCACGCAGGGCAGTGCACACACTGCCGCTGCTCCCTGATGCCCCAAGGGAGTATGTTGCTGTCCATTCCTTTAGGCTCACCTGCAGGTGCAGGCAATGGACAGCAGCACGGGTCAGCACTGGGGCTGCAACCAGCCGTACTGGCCCGCCTCCCTCGCCCTCCAGCTCCCGGATTAGCCTCTCGAGCTGCCGCCCATGCTCCAACTCCACGCCATCAGGCACCAACAGCACAAACTCAGTCTGCACATAGAATTCTGGCCGGTGTGTTTGAGGAGGCTGTTCTGGGCTGGGGGATAGCACCAACAAACGGGCATTCTCAGGCAGAGACAGGGGAGGGTAAGGCAGTGTGTCTGCCACAACCATTAATGGCACCTCTGGTCTCTGGCGCAAGAACGAGCGGGCCACGTCACCCACATAGTTCTCAAAGTCTTCAAACTCACGTAGGAGCACAGTCATACGAGGACTCCTCATACCACCCTACCAGACCTCCAATTTTGTTTGCCCCTACTATACTTCCTACCACTGCCCCCCCAGCAACCCCCAGGCCGGAAACAGATAGAGACATTTTCTTGAGGCCCTTTCCTTGTGTGCGCCGCTTCTCCATCATCTGCTGTTGCGCCCGTGATACAAAATACAGAATCAACAAGTTCAGCACAATGGCTCCCGTTAGCAGAGCCTGACAGAAACTGATTCGCATAGTGATTACAAAGGTTCAGTACAAAATACAAGTGACAGTTATACCATGCGATAGGCAACCTTGGACATCAAATTTGGAGGCAGAGCTGTCTTCTTATTGTGAACATTATGATGCGAACAAAAGACAAATCTTCCTAAATGAAGGGAGTCTTTATGTTACAAGAAGGTCAAGTAAAGAGTGTGAAAAAACATATGACCATTCATTCGATTGTAGTTCTACTGAAGTCTTTCAGAAGAGGAAGGTGCTGGACTACGGATTCCCATCTCTGTCTTGGCTCCATCAAGAGATCTTCACTACAAATCCTGGAGGACACACCAAGAAAGTCATAAAATTTTTGGATTTCCTGTTCAAACACAAAACCAAAGAAATGATTATAAGCTTTGAAATGCAAACATTTCATTACGGTAAACTAAGTCAACTTAATGTCGTAAATACACAAAAATATTTTTTTATAAAGTGTCTAAGCCATTGCAATGCTTTGAATGATCCATAGCAGTAAAGCTAACAGAAACACTGAATTTCAGATTGTATAAATCCTGTGCATTGCTTTTCCGATTACAGTGACGTCCTATTGTCTTCTAAATGAGAGCAGACTGACGCACATGACTCTTGACTAGTATAGGCTAAATAGTGGGAACTTGTCACCAGGATGTGTATATTAGAAAATTATAATATATTAGTGTATATTAGAAGCGTGTCTCATCCGTAACACAAATTTCCGTTTTTTTTTCCTTGATCCACACACAAGCATTCACCAACTGCACTTCTAAATCCACAACATTCAAAGTGAAAACGTACGCTCCACAGGCTCCAAATGACTGATTTCCACCTGTGCAGCCCGCGGTCTATATGTGGCACTGAACGGACAATGGTTGCAAAATACTTGCCCGACCTTCATTACACAAAAGTACATGCATTATAAACACGGTGGTTAACATAAAGTTACGCTTAGCTCTGTGTTTTGAATAACAGCGCCTGATTACACTATATCTTCTGCTGCTTGTACTGTTTCGGAAATGAACGCAGGAGGCTGAGCGGAAATCACAATATGGCAGGAAGCATTCTGAGGGTGCGCTCGTGAGCGTTGTAACCGTAAATATAATTAATTCAGAGGAGAAAGATCCCGAGGTTGGAGGGGATCACTATTTGGCATCCCCACTGTGTTTGGTTGTATCTGTATCGAGCAAGAAAAGGGGAAACGGCATTGGTTGTGTGTGCTAGTAACAGGGTAGCCGCTAGCCTATTCTTTTCAGTCCCTGTTTTTCCTCCTTGCTTTGGCAACAGCTGTTGCGCTGTAATGGAGGCGGAAAGATCCAGCGGGGTCGGCGGCGGAACATACCAGAGCATTGCAGGCAGTGGAGCTGGGCGAAATCCGAATGGTCCGAAGACTGTGCTTGGTCCACCAACTACAGCAGCTACCGCGGGGGCTTTAGCGGCCACCGGGGCGATGCCTGGATCCTCCCAGCCACGAGAACAGCAAGACGGTGAAACGGGCCTATCGCTACCTGGGATTTTACACTTCATCCAGTATGAATGGGGACGCTTTCAGGCGGAAAAATATCGATGGGAAGCCGAGCGAGATGAACTTAGGGTAACTGTATAACCTTGTATTCTTCATGTTTTGGAGTTTGCTAGACCAAAGGAATTTCTTATTGAGCAGTAGTCCTATCTAAGACATTCAAAAAGTCCCGGTGGCTTGTTCCTGCTGGTCTGGATGCGTTTTCTGGCGTTCCCGTGGTAATTTGTGTCCGTGTAGGCCTAACATTAGTTAGCGAAACTGCTAAGCTACCTTTCTGTTTGTTCTTTTAACGATTTGTTTCGATCAAACAGCTGATCATTGAAATACATTGAATCTGTCCGAAAACCTGTTTACACTTATCAAACTTCCAATAGCATTAGGCAATATTAAATCAGCATCCTAGTGAAAATCCTACATAAGCTATTGTGTGTATCTCGTCTTGCCTTTTTGTACTATTTCTAAATCATTCTCCTATGATATTTCTAGAAGGTTTATAAGAATTCCCGTATATTTGATGTGTGCATGTGAATGTTGTGTACACGAAACTTTATCCCAAAATGTATTCTTTTAAAACTCGATTAAGCAAAGATTGAATCGTCGAATTTCTTTGCAAAGTATTTTCTCGCATTACATATAACCTAAGGGAATACGTAATACGATGTTTTTAAGCGTTTGGTTTCAGGAGTATATGAAAGACTGCGAATCATTTATCACGGGCACGTTTGTAATGTAGGCTGTGTTTGCCGCTTCTATATTCTATTAGATAATGTGCTAACATGTGACCAGTAGACCACTGTTGGGATTCACATTTAACTACGTTTGTAAATCTAGATCCAGTAGCAAGAACAATGACGTAATGCAGTCCGTAGGCGGAGTAGCTGTGCTAAACCAGAGGTACTTTTCCTTTGCTTTGTGTAAATAGTAGTGTATGAACGTCACATGCATTATGATGCCTTTGTTGAATACAGTTTCTTTAATTGACTGTTAATTGATATTCCAAGTGTCTTCTTGTGTCTATTTGCTTTAGTATGGAATTACATAACACATAGCAAGCATGTTAATAGGGCCGTGGGGTTCCAGTGGGCATATGTTTCTGTTGCTCTGCCAGTCCTCCTGTGGATATACCCGTGGAAATGTGCAGAGGAGTTATGGCCTAAAAGCTTTGCACGTGGTGCAGGTCGAGAGCACATTGTGAGCTTCTAATTTCCATCTGTATTCAGTGCAGTTTTGTGCAGAAAAACAGAAAAGTGTGCTTCCAAGAGTTTTTCTCTGTCTCACCATAAATACCAAAATACTTTGAATGTAGGTGGATCTACAACTGATTCAGTGTAATAGAGTGTAGTTTTCAGGTACAGGTGCACAGATTTAATGAGCCATGTTAATATCAGTGGCATCCTGATTAAAACATATCCTAATGTGATCAGTTATGAAGACGTATCAATAGAAGTAGGAATCATAAACAGGTTTGTTTATAGTACAAATCTGTTTTGCTACTTGAGTATGAGAATTTAGTACAATGGTAAGTTTTTTGTATGACGTACCATACACTACATGTGTATCAGTAAAAACAGTATGAAGGTAAAAATGGACTGTGCATAGATATTTGCAGGGAACATAGTAGTATAAAGATTTAAGAGGTTCCAGCATGCTTATTTTTTTAAATGTACAGTATTACATTTATTACAGTATATTGCAAAAGTATTACGTTTAATGAAGTATTAGGTGCTGGTTGGAAACTTTAAATACTGGGATTCGTCAGGGAGAGTTTTGGGAATGGTTAAGTAACACAGTGACAGACAAGTCATGTATTGTTTGTTTGTTTGTTTATTTACCTACCTAAAATGCATGTTTTCTTTAACAAACACTTGTCTTACTGCAGTTAATAGCAGTTTTTAGTTTTAGAGGCAAAGGACAAAGCACAGAGCATAACAAGTGTAAAACAGATTACCACCTTACTGCACTGCCCAATATTGTTAACCAAGGTAGCGTTGTTGTTGTTGTTGTTGTTGTTGTTGGAGGTCCAAGCACCTTTAGGTGCATGGAACCCTATTGCTTTTGCTAGGATTTTTCTTCTTCTTTTTCTTCCCTAAAACGGTTTGTGGAGAAGACACCATAAGTCATCCAAAGACCAAACTTGGAGGATAGGTGTAGAATCCCCCCCACTACTCAAGCAACTGAAATGACCCCTGGTTGGCCTGATGGTGCCAATTAAGCCCCTCTGGGTTTGGCTTAATTCACATAAATGACTAAAGATCGAGATTGCTTTGGCCAATTCATATCAAACTTATCAGTCCTGTACCCCATATGATTCTGTGGAAGCCCACCAAGTTTGATACCGATTACTCAATGGGGGCACTATAACAACCAAAACTCTGTTTCTCAGCAACCGCTTAGCCAGTTGAGCTGAAACTTTGCATGCTGTATCCATGGCCTAATATTTAAAAGATCTATTAAGCACAACTGAATCATTGGACAAATATGGCCGCCATAGCATTGCTTAGCATTGGCCAATCGTCACAAAAATTATATCATTTGTCCATGTAGGCAATCTCTAATAGCCTATAAAATTTGACTTCAGTTGGCCATGAGGTGGCGCTATAGAGCATAAACAAGAATAAGTCCTATAAATTTTATCATATATCAAAATAAATCAATACATATCATTGCTTACACTGAGAATGACATTTTATCAAATACAAGTCTTTTAAAATTCTGTAAAGTTTTTCTTTGATTGATCAGTGTTTGAAAATTGGGCTTTTCAAACTGGTTTGTGGATTTTAAGACAGTTGTTTCAATTTTGGTCTTAAAACAATCTGTGGAGTCCGTAGGTAAATAATTATCAAAAAACCTTGACTTTATTGCAAAGAACAGCCAAGACACTAATGAATCTGTTTGGCCTGGCCTTTTCTGACTTAGGGGGCTATAGATTCTTTAGTTTTTAGGTGATTGTGATAAATCTTGGTAAACTTGTACACCACTATTTTCTGAGGAAACATGCAAAGTTTCATTTAAATTGATTGTCATAAGCCCCTACAATACTTAATCTAGTGTGTAATTATTAAAATGTCATTATATTCTTCTATGAATGAAATAAAGAAAAGATAATGGTTTCAAATTACACATCTTATTAACATCTAAAACATTGCAATTATATGTATGTTCCAAACTTGCACAGGAAATGTGGGAATTTGACTTAAGCCCAGGATGGCCACATAATTAATAAGGGTAATATCTTTTCTGCCCAGCATAGGGAGCATCAGCATTAAATGCAGATTATGACTTCAAACATACTTATGGTCGTAGTCTTTGCAACATCTATCTTGCGGCAAAGGAACTTTATGAATTTTATGTATTCCACTGAGCCAAGCAGTTTTGCTTATACAAGTCTTTTAAAAAACTATTCTTTTTCTGTAAATCACAAAACTGATGTTTTCATACTGCTTTCTGAAATGTTTTTGCATCGTCTCAAACTTGGTCTCTGAACAACCGTCAAAGTCTCAAGATCAATAATTATTTTAAAAATCTTGCCTTTTAAGCACCATTTTATTGCAAATTATGGATCAATCAGTTCGGTCCAGCCTATTCAGAAACAAGGGACCACAAATTTGTCACTTATGCTCTGATTGTGACCAAAAATGATATATACATTGAAAATAATCAGCTGAGGAAATGTGTGAGATTTGGCTTGAATTGGCTTAAGTTGGCTCTTACAATGCTCAATGTACTGCCAACAATTTAAAATGTAATTATTCCTGTCTAAGATCAAAATAAAGACATGACTATTGTTTCAAATTATGCATCTTAATAAGAATTAATACTGTGCAAATATGTGTAGGTTGCTTAACTGTGCAGGAAATCATATAATTTGATTTCAACAAATTTTAATTAGCGCAAAAGGTGTTTTATATTTCTCTGGCCACCAGAGGGAGCCAAATCAGTAACTGCAAATGTCAATGTTGAACTAATTAATAAAAAATATACAATTAGTGGAAAGCTTTACTGTATGTCTTTAGGTCAAGACCATTTCTGTATTTTATGCTTTCCACCGTGCCTGACAATTTTGCTTATACAAGTCTATTAAAAAACTTTATTGTTTTTCTTGCATTGTCTCAAACTTGGTTTCAAAACAACCGTCAAAGTCTCAAGATCAATAATTGTTTAAAAATCTTGCCTATTAAGCCCAATGTTATTGCAAGTTATGGAATAATCAGTTTGGTCCAGCCTATTCGGAAACAAGGGACCACAAATCTGTCACTTATGCTCTGATTGTGACCAAAATCGAATTGCATATTGATAATAATCAGTTGAGGAAACGTATGACATTTGGCTTGATTCTGCTTATGTTAGCTCTTACAATGTTCAATTTACTGCCAAAAATCTAAAATGTAATTATTCCTGTCTAAGAATAAAAACAATAAAAACATGACAATTGTTTCAAATTATGCATCTTAATGAGAATTGTCACTTTGCAAATATGTGTAGGTCGTACCGTACAGGAAATCCTATTATTTGATTTCAGCAAATTTTGTTCAGAGCAACAGTTTTTCTCTGGCCACCAGAGGGAGCCAAATTAGTAACTGCAAATGTCATTGTTGACACATACATGGAAAGTTTTACTGTATGTCTTTAAGCGAAGAGCATTTCTGAATGTTATGTTTTCCACTAAGCCTAACAATTCTGTTAAGTCTTAAACTTTCAGTAATATCACAGTTGAAAAACAATGGAGAATAGACATTTCTTACTAATTGAGTTTAAATCAAATTTAATTTTTCTTAAAACAATCATATTGAAAATATCATGACTTTTAAGCACAGTGTGGCTGAAGATTTGAATAAATTGATGTGAACTGGCTTTGACACAATTATACAAAATGACAAACTGACAGTGTATTATGATTTCATTTGGAATTATACTCCTCAATAGTCAAAGTAATTGCAAGGTGGAAACTAACACCCAAAATGGTGCTTGGTTCCATATTGCTCCGTTCCGATAAATTCTCTCAAAAAACAGGTCTGCTGTGTGCCTCTTGTAGCTCACCATGAAAACATCCGCCTTTGAAGATTAAGGTCATG